TCTGTAAGTCCGTTCTAGGGGACCTTGATAACCTCTTCTGACCAGGCACACACTTGATGCATAGACAGACATACAGTCAGAACAATCATAGGTACACACATGATGCATAGACAGACATACAGACAGAACAATCATACATGTACAAAGTAAATAAATAATTTTTAGGGGGGTAAACATCTTGTTAGGTCAGTATTCTTGTATGTACCTAAACTTCATTTTATGCAGATACTACCTACCCCTGCTGGATCTTGATAGCCAGTTACGTCCCTCTTAGACATACTTAGGCTTCTGTCCATCCCTTGAGACTGATTAACTATCAGGATACATCCCCAAATCTCCAACCAAAAAACAACATCCAGTGGCAGTAGATCTTCCATCAAGCCTGTCACACTGGTGTTTTGAGACAGCCCACCTACTCAAGCTATGTGTTAGGCCTGCTCAGACCCAGTGGTGGTAGCCAGTCTTTTAGAAAATGCGCTGACCTTTAAAAGTCAAAGAAATGTGTTGTTCCTGTTCCCGAGGACTTTGGAACATGACTCTCAAGTAATTTCCTCCAAAAGTTTTGAGTTTTTTGTTTTTGAAAAGATTTAAAACTCTTTATTTTATGTTGAGGGTCTTTTCCTAAGCCTTGTGTACCACATGAGTGAAGGTACTGCGGAGGCCAGAAAGGGGCAGCAGATCTGGATCTGCAGTTACAAGTGGTAGTGAACCTCTTGATGTTGGTGCAGAGAGATGAACCTGTGTCCTCTGTGAAATCAGTAAGGAGTCTTAACAACTGAGCCATCTCTTTAGTCCCTGGGACTTGAATTTTAAAGGATGGAGTCTAGCCTTTACCCTGTCTTTGAAGAGTCATGCTTTGAAAGGGACAAATATGACTTGTCTTTGACTAGAGAGTGAAACTTTACAAGTTCTAGATGACCAACATACAAGAAACCTTAGAGAACCTTCACTCCTTGTTCCAATTCAGTCCTGTGATATGAGGAAGGTAGTGTGTTTCACTGTGGCACTCCTTAGTTAAAATGCAAGGGACATAGGAATGTTATTGCACAACCCAAGTTTCACACAGATCACATGCTGCCTCTCCCACCTACATTTTTAGGTAACTACCTCAACTTAGAATGTTAAAACAATTTTTACCATCCATCCATCCATCCATCCACCCATCCATCCATCCATAGTGCATGCACCATGGTGCACATAGAGAGAGCAAAGGAACTTTCAAGATTTAGGGTTCTTGCCTTTCTTTGACCATGTGAATCCACACGGGCTTCACAGCAAGAACTTGTACCCCCTGAGTCAAGAAAAAGTATTTTTAAGACACTCAACTATTATGGCTAAAGTCTCATTGGCCTCTTACCTTCCCTCAGAAGACAATACTGCTAAAAGGCTGTGAAGTAACCTTGTGGAAGCTTCTCTGTTTTCCACACATATGTAAATAGCTGTGGAATTCTGTTGGGTTTCATCATCATTCCACAGCCACTTTTGTATCTTGCTTTGTTCATTACCCATCTTGTATTTCTATGCTAGGCACAAATATGAGCCTCATGTTTTAAATGCTGCAAGTAAGTGGCCCATATTATGGACAAGCCATCTTTTCTTCAACTGTTCCCCTAGAGACACTTTCCAACTGTGAGAATAGTTACACAGCAACTAAATCAATACAAAAACCCAAATTTTATAGTTGAGCTGTTTCTGAATTAATCCCAAACAACAGAAAGCATACTAATTTACTATATAGTTACTTGAGCATATGATCTACTTGCTCCATAGTTCTTTATCTGTAAAACAGGAATAAAAATAACATTCATTTCACGAGTTCATAGGAAGAAATAGATGAATGACTGTGTGCAAAGGTTCTGAGCAGTGTCTGGCTTCTGTTGAATGCTATGCAAATGTTTGCTGTGTGCTGAGGGTGCTGCACTTGGACAATACTGTGTTGATCTCAAAGAACTGCTATGACCTTTGCTGTGTGTATGTATTATCTTTCCATCTATTTTGTAAGCATCTCAGGAAAACAGTGAGTTTTATGAGCTGTATTTACAGTATCATCATAGACGTGGTTTATCCCATTGCATAAAGTCTCTGTGAAAGCAAGAGCAGTTCTTTTCTTTCTTAGGAATAGGTAGATCTCTCCTAGGTAGTCAGTTTGATTTTCTAGAACTGACCTATCTGCCAGTATCTCACTATGCAACCTAACCTAGCCTTATATAACCCTTATTTAGTCTCCTGCGTGTTCAACTTTGAGCACATTGTGTACCCTCTTATACTGGCTGCTAGAAAGGAGCATGCACCATCAGCATTTCTGTTCTGTGCTGTGAGCTCTGTGGCAGGCATTTTCTGTATTAACTGAACTTAGGACTCTAACTTATTTTCTTCCTGTAACTTAGTACAAATGGCTGCTGCAGTGAGTGGCTGTATAGGCCGACCTTGTACTATTAGGGAATGGTTTGAATGAGTTTTGGTACCAACTCAGATGGTAGGTACTGTTCCCAGAAACCTCCAGAGGCCCAGATGGAAGAGTAGCTATGGAAGAACCACCTGTATGAGGACCACCACCTGCATGGGTTTCCTAGGCCTCTCACAGTCAGGGGTCAGAGTTCAGGCATGGCATCAGTGGTGCAAACAAAGTGTGAGAGAGTAAGAGCTTCTGTTGTTTATGGACAGGGGATGTGTGGCACACCTAGGGGAATCACGGGAAGATCCAGGAGCAAACGCGGAGATAATGAGGCAGGATCTGGGCATCATGCAAATTGGTTTCCCATAAGAAGCCTTAATTGGTGGATTTAAAGAGAGCAGATGTTAGAATCCAGCTGAAGAGATATCCGCCACCTTAAGATTGTGGGCAAATGTCTAAATAGTACCTCTGCAGGAAGTGGCAGGAAAAGAGAGGGGCTTCTGAGTTATTGCTATTCACCCAGTTGGAGCCATTCTGGTTTTGTAGAGCATTGCAAACTCTCAGTGGTGACTGAACCTTGCTGCAGCCATTGGAAAGTTAGGCTTGTATTTAAAAATAGATGTTACAGCTGGGCCTGGTGATACATGCCTGTGATCCCAGTACTTGGAGGCTAAGGGACGATTGTTATGAGTTCAAGGCCAGCTTGGGCTACATGGTGAGGTAAAGGCTACACTGAGATAACATGGTGAAACCCTGTCTCACATAAAACAAACATAATGTTGCAAAAGAAACAAATTGCAGCAGTAACTGCAGGGGCAGACTGTAAATAACTGAACAGAGCACAGTGGCCTTGGGGACTTGCTGGGATCTTGTGGCCAGATAGGCCCTTTAGCCCCTGGCCTACTCTTATCCAACTTTCTGTAGGACAAGTTGTGAGTCTACAGCTGGACAGTGTCACTTATAAATAATGGTGGTTTTGACCTTGCAATCAAGCATGCATTGTCATTTGGGAGACTAGCTGCTTTCCTCTCTGTCTTCTGAAAATCCCTGTTCGTTGTGAGTCCTTCAGCAGCAGAATGTGTCCTGATCCTCAGCACTGTCTTCTACCTGGTTCAGAAACACAAATGCTGGTTGTGACCCACCTCAGTATGCCAGGAGCAAGTCTGCCATGTGGGAGTACCTGGATATTAACGACTTTAGCAGCAGTAAACTGCCATCCACAAAGCAGCCATTGGTGATTGTGAAGGCCCTTTGTCTGTCGCATGAAAGAGACTCTATTACAGTGGATGAGATGCTGCAGTCTTGAGCTGGACTGGAGGGAAAGGCAGTGGTGTCGCCATGAGCCACCTCAACTGTGCCTGGCACTGCTGTCTGGGAAGTGCCCCAGGCTCAGCCTACTACCGTCTCTTCAACAGAAACCCAGTGCTCTCTGTAGTGAGGCTCCATTTTATGAAACTCTGAGTCCCCATGCTGTTCTAGGATGGCTCTGTCATTTGTTCATCACCTGGAATGAGGGGCAGAGGCCGTTCTTTTCCTCACACTCAGAGCTTGGAGAACCTATTCTGGTAGTTGAAGTGTGTGGAGATGAGCTTCATGATAAGTTGGATATCTCTGACCTGCCCATTTGCACAGTTGTGCTTTTATCTGGTGATAAACACCTCCCTCAGGAATTGATCATTGACACTGGACCAGTCCAGATTATCAGGATAACAGCTCACTGAGCAGTGAGATCTGCTCTACCAGACAGGCAACCCTCTGTGTGGCTGCTGTGGACCCCTAGTTCCAGCCTTTTATTCAGCATGGAGGAAGTGAGCACTGGTGGGTTGGACAGTTTTGTACCATTAGGAACTCTTAGCCCACTCCCTGCCAAAGCAGGTTAGGCAACCCCTAGAAGGTGACAACTCCTCCCTCCTCTGCCACTGTGCACTGCCTCTCTTCTCTTTCTTTCTAGTTCCTAATTACTCAATATTTATGATTTGCCCTCTGTTTCACTCTTTGAGATCCTCTGGGTGTTATGTAGATTCCTTTCAAAACCGTGCCATTGACGAACACCGCTCTTGGCTTACGCACTGCTGAAACTTGCTGCAAGACAATGCTCTATCATGGCTGGGCTTGGAGTGGACCTTGCAATTGGTTTCTCAGTTCTCTATTTGACTGTTTAGGATGAAGCAAATCTGCAGTACTCAGGGTTGAGGATTCCAAAGCGGTTGCCCCACTTTTTCCCACATATATGCTTGACAAGTGGTGCTGACTCTAATCTCCTTCCAGAGCAGACCCTTCATAGTCTGTGCCTCCAGCTCAACCAGACCTAGCATGCCCCAGCCCATCAGGTCAAAGCCCTGATGGTTGGTTGGAAGCTCTTTTGGGGCCCTTCCAGCCCAGGGTGATGTCATCGGGTGGTTTCACCATCTCCTGGGACACACCTTGTAGTGGCATGTGGTCTGGTCTTTTAGCTGTCTTGAAATCAGGTTTCCTGTGTTAGGATTGATTTTGCACATAGCATCACTGAAACTGTCCTTATAAATGGCACACATTATGTACTGCATTTGGAAGTGGGCAAGTGTTTTCCTAGCCCTTTAAGTGTGTTCTTTTCCCCCCTCTTCAGTCCCAGGTAAATCACCACAGTACTGCTAGTAATGAAACCTACCAGGAACGCTTGGCTCGGCTAGAAGGAGATAAAGAGTCTCTCATACTACAGGTGAGTGCTCTCGCTCCATTGCCTCCCCAGGAAAGGGAGGCACAGGGGGAGTCCTTTGTTGGAAAGTATTGTTAGGCTGTGAATCCTCCATTTATCTTGTGCTGCCAAGCATCTCTCTTTGAATGCCACAAACCCTGTGGGCAGGCTCAGACTGGGTGCTCGCAATGAGCAAACTGGACCCAGTCATCTGGGAGCCTGTAAGTCTGCTAAGTGAGGTGAGTGCATCCTTTGTCACTAATAAAACTGAGCCTTGAGGGACATAGGCTTCAGGGAGCTTGCTAATGGAATCCAGTTCATGAGTCTGAAGCTGGATCCAGACAGATCACTTGGATGCCAGATCCCCTGCTCTGGTAACATGGGGTAGGCTTTTGCTGGCTCTCTTGCCCTATGAGAAGAGTGGTGCTTTGAAACTTCTCAAAGAAAAAGGGCACCAAAGCTGCCTCTCACTTTCAAAAGCCCATGTTCCTTTGTAGGACATCACATTGGGTGTTCTTCCAGAGAGCCTGCACTGTGGCAGGAGGTTTTTTTTGTTGTTTTTTGTTTTTGTTTTTGTTTTTTTTCTGTGTTATCCTTCAAATGCACAAACACACTTAGCAAGCAGGCATTCAGAGTCTGTTCTGCAATACATATGGGCCGACAGTTTGGAGAATGTAGAGATCACTGTCCTAATTTGAGCTTCTTAAGCTTGAAGGATGATGGCGATGGAAACTGGGGATGCAGTTGTTAGAGTGTTTGGCTACGATGCGCGAAGCCCCTGGATTCCATCGCCAGGGCACTGGGATGGCGCACACCTGCAATTCCTGTGTTTGGGAGGTAGAAACAGGAGGTCCAGAAGTTCAAAACTACATAGTTGGCTTAAGGCCAACCACATGAGACACGCCTCTCCATTTTGAACACAAAAATGTCTTGTGTTGAAATGGAGGAAGCGGGGGAGGGATTGGGGTCTGAAGTGTGGTCCTTCGTTTGGAGTGCTAGACATTGTGAATGAGATGGCGGTATGCTTATTTCTTATTTTATTTTATAAACATGAGATTAATCAATTCTTTTAGAAACTAGAAATTCTGAATATTTCAAGAAGCAGATTAGATTAAGATCTGTTCTTTGGTTGTGGTCTCTCACTTCCTTTAAAAGATTGAGCTCATATCAAACATTAATTTTATAGCCTAGTTTTATTCTTTTATTTGCTTCATTGTCTTCTTTTCATTTCTTCTTCCTTCCCTCCCTCTCTTTCTTTCTTCCTTTCTTTTGTGTTTTGCCTGCACAGATGACTGTAAGAGGATGTTAGATTCTCTGGAACTAGAGTTGCAGACAGTTGTGAGCTGCTGTGTAGATGCTGGGAATTGAACCTGGGTCCTCTGGAAAAGCAGCCAATGCTCTTAACCACTGAGACACCTCTCCAGCCCCTTCATTGACTTTTTAAATAATTTAATCATTATAAAGTAATTGAATATCTGATTTATCAGATACTGGTTTATAACTTGTGGGCATATTTGTATCAGTGAATAAAATGGAGGGGGGAGGGAGAGAGAGAGAGAACGAACTGAACCGATACTCAAAATATTTCAGGTAATGAAAAGTACCATGGGGAAAAGTAAATCCAGATAAGCAGTGTGCTGGAAGGAGGGAGCTTCCTGGCTGGAGGAAGCCAGGGAGGGAATCACAGATACCTGGAGGAGTGCATTCCAGGCAGAGGAGCTGGTCAGTCCCACCCATCCACAGAGTGAAGTGTCCTTGGTGTGTGGACAGAACAGCAAGGGGCTGTAATAGCTGGAGTCCCTAGAAAGAAGGGGGTGGAAGCCCCTTTGGAAGGGGTAGCAGGGCCCTGCACAGGTCACTTGAAGAATGTACAAATGTGAAACTTCATCCCCAAGACATGATTCATGAGTTGACAGTCCAGTTTAGGATTGTGTAGCCAGCAGTATGAAATTGAAAGCTTTTGAAGCAGCACCCTCCACAGTTAAAACAACACATAGCTTTTCAGAAGGGAATTACAGTTAATAAAGAAGCTCCATGTATTAATGCTCCCTTCTACAGCCATTTCTGTTCTTACCAGATTCTTGAGTAATCCCTGTTTAAATAATTCAAACACAGTTAGGAAGCCATTGACTAATGAAGGTGAAAGTTGACCCTCATGGTTTCTGTTCTGCCAGGAGCTGTGGTCAGACCATGCAACTTCTTGCTTCTGCCCTGTTTTGTAGTGTCCTGCAGAGCTGGTTCTGTGATTTGCAGCAGGGCACAACTTCTTGCATAATCAGTTGAGTCACACTGAATCAGTTGGAGCCCTGGACCCAGAATAAGTTTTCCTGGGTCTATTTGTAAAAGAATAAGATTAGTTTCTATCCTCTCCCAATACCTAAAATATGTTTAACATAGATCTCAAAAGATAGAATTCTAAAATCTTTAGTGCCAGTTTCCATACCTCCTGAGTCATAGTAGAGTTGACCTGAGGTTCAGAGGATCCCCGTAAGCCTTTGTCTTTGGTCTTCGGTACAGCTGGCCTGTGACCTGTACTACTCCATAAACCCCTATTAGTACATGGTCTCTAAGTACAGAACAGCTTTATAAATTTTAATTCTTGTAGAGGCACCAACATGAAACGCCTTCCCAAAACAGAAGCCTTGAATCCCAGCAAGCACAATCATTTTCTAGAATTCCACTCTTGAAAGTGTAGTTGCTAGTTGAAAAGACCAGTGCTGCTGATAGTATTCAGGAACAAGAATCCAAACCAAATAAAAACATGTGACTAGAGATATGGGTCACAGTGAAGAGCACGGATTGTTTTTCTGGAGGACCTGGCTTTGATTCTCAGCACCACACCCTCTTCTGTCCTCATGGGCATTGTATACACATACTTGCAGGCATACATGCAGACAAAACAACCATACATATAATAATAAGAAATATTAACAGTAACTCACACACACACACACACACACACACACACACACAAGTGTGCTGTTTAAATGGGCCTAGTTGTTGGAAGAAGCCTATGTTTGGAATGTCAGCACACCCTGCAGCAGCTTCAAGAGTGTTTCAATCATTCACTCATTACTAGAAGTAATAGGCTTATTTAAATATGTGCCTCTGAGAACAGGAACTTTCTAATTCCTAAAATTCATTTAAACACTCGTAAATGAACTTAAATTAACTTCTTCATGCTTCATTAATCATTACAAAATGGAAAATTAACTAGAATAACCTATATGTAAAGGACCACAATGTCTTCAACCAAGAAGATCAGGATTTACTATTCATTGATTCCTTCAGTTTTGGATGGTCACCCATTCTCTTTATTCTTCTTGTATGGCACTGTCTCATAATAAATAAAACATAGAAAGGATCCTAGGGGTCAGTTGGCTAATAGAGAAGGCTACCAAAACAGTTATAGTATATATATGGTGCATAGTTAATGATTTTGTGTAAATGTATTTTTCTTAGTATTTCCATAGACAACCTCAGGGTTCCTCAGAAAAAAAAAATGACTGCTTTCTGCCATGTGTGTGCAGTGTGGCTTTGGTGTTTGTATGACTTAGAGTCATGTTTTGGCCTGTGAAGCACAGAAACCTTTCTGGAGCCAAGTTTTGTCAGTGCTAATACATGCCCTTTACGTCCCGCATTCCTTAATTACTTCCAAACACTCACTTGATAGGTGAGTAGTCCCCACACCCCTGTGAGAGAGGTAAGGTCATTGGTTGTTTCCGTAAAGGTTTGGATCGCTTTTCCCCATGAGGTGTCAGAGCCCTGGCAAGAGCTGAGATATGCCTTGAAGTCGGGCTGCCCTGTTAGAGGAATAAGAAGCAGGAGTTCAGCCCAGAGGCAGCTCTCAGGACTCTTGGGTAGGTGCTTTCCTCTCAAGACTGTCAAGAGCAGGAAATGTGACCAAGGCATTTAGGCAGTGCCTAAGATTCCCCGGTAAGGAGAGATTCTAACTGGAGTTGCCTGCCTCTGGGATACTTACTTCTTCAACTCACTCACCTAAAGAGAGGCCTTCATCACAGCTCACCCACCCACAGTGGGGACTTCCTTGCCTGGTACACAGTCCAGATCCTCCACTATTGTTTATGTTCTATAACAGGTGAGTGTCCTCACAGACCAAGTGGAAGCCCAAGGAGAGAAGATTCGGGACCTTGAAGTGTGTCTGGAAGGACACCAGGTGAAACTCAATGCTGCCGAAGAGATGCTTCAGCAGGTACGGGCAGGTGGAGTGGAGGGCTTTGGGCTTGAAGCAGCTCTGGTGTTAAATGCCCCTTTATGGGCTCCTGCTTACTCTCCCATGAGGCCTGGAGGTGGAGTTGGTTGTGCACTGTGCAGTGTTTAGACAGCAGGTGAAACCAACCTGAACGTTGAGGGCGAGGTGGGGCGGGGCTGGCGGGTGGGAAATAACTTGTTGAGCTGGTTAGACAGAGCTCACAGTACTTTCTTTCTGCTGGCCATGTCACCTCATCTTATCATAGAAGCTGTCATCTGCCCATGAGTGGCATCTGGGGCTGTAGAAAATCAACGTGTCAGCTTATTTTCCGCCTCTTCCCCCACCCTCACTCTAGTCCCTCCGTCTGTTTTCTTTTGATTTAAAACTATCGCATAAGTGCCATCCGACTGTACTTCAGTAGACATCAAAAAGGAAAGCAGCAGTTAACTGCTTTCTTACTTTGTAAATAGAGTCCTTTTGTGGTACATGATTGGCAAAACTGTGGTCCCACAAAGGGACAGTCTAGTCCTTAGGGTTTGTATGCTTAAATATGATGTGGTGGATCTTTTTGATTTGTAAATGTAGCAGTGTAGCCATTTCCACTGTCACTTAAAATTATTTTAAGTCGAAATATCAGAATTGACCTAATGATCCTTTATCCTTCAAATGATTGTATTATATGGCAAAAAGTGAGTTGTGGGTACTGAATTGTCGTGAAAAGTCTTAAGGTCTTCTGGGCATGCCATTAGACTTTTGATCCAATCGAGTCAGAGATTTCCTTTGCTTAAATTATCCTTGAACTTTTGGCTACTGTGAAAATTAAAGCATGCTGGATGCTTATGTGTGTGTGTGCTTTGTAGCTGCTGATGCAATACCTGACACAGGGGAGAGTCTCACCCTCTCTCCCTTAAAATGAGTGGACTTACTTAGTTGACTGATTATAATCCTTTTCTCAGAGCTCTACTTTCTTTTTTTTTTTTTTTAACTCTCAAGATCAGCCTGTGAACACAGTCTTTGCATTCTATTGTTGGTCTTAGCATCAATGTCATAGTTTCAGGGTGTGTTAGTTTTGTTTGGGTGCGTTTGAAGAATCTAAGGGAAGAAAAGGTAAATCAGTATCCTGATGGATGTGTCTATAGAAACTAGGTGGTTATGGCACATGCCTTTAATCCCAGCACTCTGGTGGCAAAGGCAGGTGAATTTCTGAGTCCAAGGGCAGCCTGGTCTACAGAGGGAGTTCCAGGACAATCAGGGCTACACAGAGCCCTGCCTGTCTCAAAAAACAAAACAACAACAACCAGAAACACTAGTTGCATCAGTGTGGAGGTTATAATTAATTTGCTATCCTCTCACTCCTGATTAGTAGATTATACTGTTCTTGGCTCAATTTGATCTTGTTTAGATTATATACCATTTTTCTTATAATTTCTCCTAAGAAATTATAATTAGCAATAGTTCTTTTTGAGAAGAAAAAATGAATCAAGCTTTTGAATGCCTGGATAAAAAAATAAACTGATGGGGAAGAAAGTTTTGCATGAAACACATGTGGATCCAGTTTTTGGGTCTTCACGAGGTGTGGTTTTGATGGGGAGGGTAAGGAAGAAAGATGATTGACAGTTGTAAACAGTTGAAAAAGAGAACATGAAAAACTGATTGTAAAAGTTAATACATGAGAAAAATGTCTGAGGGCTGACATTTCGGGAAGGTGGTACCTGGCTAGAAGCCACATTTTCCGAGGTTAGAGAATGGCCACATTATAGTACTGGGACTGTGTGCCTGCCTGTGATGTCTTCTGTACTGTTCTGCTTTAGGCAGGGTTCCTATCTGTCCAGGAGTCTGATCCAGGAGGCCAGAACTGCCAAGGCAGGGGTTGGCTTTTCTGTCTGTCAGCATTATCACAGAGAAGGCCTTTTGTACTTTTTTTAAAGTCTTAGTGTGATTATCTTTTGTATCCTATTTATTATAATTCTTTGCCATGTGCTGGGAGTGAGGTATCAGGTGCTGGTTTGCCTCACAGTAGATGTGATGTCATCCATCACCTGCTACAATTTGGAATGAAGGCGACTCAACATTAGTTGCGTCTAGAATTTGACCAAGTTCTTTGTCTATAACTATCAGTATGGCCTCCCAATCTCTTCAGGGTAGAATTTCATAAAAATCACATGTTCAAATTGTGGGACACATTTGAGCCTCCTCTCCCATTAGGTGTCTATTGGACTAGTTCTAGATCGTAAGCTCAGTGCTACTGCTGTCATGGAATCTACTTGATGCTGTTTGTGAAGACCCTTGGTTCTTACACCACAGTGCTGATGCAGTGCTGCTTACAGCATGGAGTCTGTATATGTCCTATGAGCTGGGACCAGGTAGAGACTTGCCCAGTTTGGCTGAAATATCCTCGGCTGCAGGGCTCTTGGCTTCTGGTGGTTGGAACAAGAATGACTCATGGCCTAGAGGCAGAGAATGGACACAATTGCTTCTTTCTGCCAGCCAGGGAGAGCATTCCTATCCTGCCAGACCTAGCCCATTGCTATGGATGAGATCTTTCCCTGTCTCCAGGAAGGCTTCTGTTTGCCTGGAACCCATTACTTCCCCTGGAAGCACTGGTCCAGACAACACTGCACACTGATGCATCCTGTCTAAAGATAACAACTGTTAATTACTGCTAGTTTACTGCCTTTGTAGACCCAGTAATGCAAGACGATCTAGTTTGTTGCTGATATTGTTTGTTTTGCACAGAGGTAAAAATTAAAGATTTAAAGATATCTTAAAAATTTGACAAATCATTTCAACTTTGAAATGTCTGTATGAACTACAGAGTAAGTTACTATAGGTCATGCCTGGTCTGGAGATCTAGCCTACAATGTATGCTGTAGACCACCTCCCATCCATGGGCTGGAATAGCATTGGGAGACTGTCCCAGTTACTTAATCACTTAGTTAAGACACCATGACCAATGCAGTTTATAAAAGAAAGCATTTATTGAGGTTCATATTTCCAGAGGGTTAGCGTCTATGGCCATCATGGCTGGGAACATGGCAACATGCTGGCATAGGGCTGGAGCAATACCTTACATCCTGATCCACAGACTCAGAGAGCTAACTTGGTATGCACTTTTGAAACTTCAATCCCCATCCCCAGTGGCAAACATTCAAATGTATGTGCCTATGGGGGCCATTCTTTTAAATCACCACATGGACTTAAGAAAACCCAGATGCAATATGCGGAACCCAAAGCCAGTGCTTTGTTAAGTTCCAGAATTGCTGACTGTCTTTTCCCACAGATGGTATACCAGTGCCATACTCATTCTAGGAGCACAAGAGGAAGAGGTACCCAACTCATGAGGCAGGCCTCCTCTGACTTCCCCACACTGTCTCAATCCAGCCTCTGCTTACCACTGATCTACCGACCAGCTAGTGCAACTGAGCATGAACTCATCCAGTCTCCAGGAAAGAACACATAGGCCTCTCTTGGTAGTAGATAAACCAGAAGTATATAAAACCAACACAGGGTCTGGTCCACCAAGACTGCAATATTCTTAAAGATACCTTGGGAAGGAAGGAAGGATGCGAATTGTCCTGACATTGTGCAGGCACCACCCTGCTCGGAGAAATAGGGAACATCAGTGTATTTCAAGCCTCCAACCTAAACTATAGAACGCTAGGGTTGATGTGAAGCCAGCTGAGGTGTGGAGTGACTGGGAGTCAGTGAGCGTAGATGTTGGTCTGGGAAGGTCAGTAAATCTGTTCATTTATTTTTGTTGTTAATATTTGTGATGCTGGGCCTCATGCATACTGGACAAACACTACCGGCCACTGAGCTCTGGCTCTCTGGTTTTCAGTACGCATGGTTGCTGGCCCTACTATCATTGTGCACAGAGCTTGGTGGAAACTTCTTCCGAGGCAGCATAGAAGGGAAGGAGAGGGCTGTGTTAGTGAAGGAAATCCTATTGACTTAGAAAAAACTCCAGGGTGAAACGCGACCCAGACCTCATGATAAAGTCAAAGGCTACCCATGGAGGTGCCTTAACAGTCATGAAGTTGTATATGATTAGTACAGTTCTGTTAAAAACAGATTTTCATACAAATGGTCAGTGCACTTGAAGACACCATGCAAGGGTTGTGAGGCCTAGACACAGGACCATAACACATGAAGAAATGAAGATTTGTTTTTAAACCAAAGAGAATGTTAAACATAACCACACACATGATCTGGCAGGCACATAGACTTGTTTGAGGAGGTGAGACAAGGCAGCAAGTCGTGAGTGAAGAAAATGGGCATTTAAATATTCCCTAAAACCCCGCAGAGATTTTAAGGCACAGATGCCTAGTTTCTTCAGATTCATCTTATTTGATGTTGAATGTGTAGACATCAATGAAGAGTAGTGTACGTTAACCGATGTTGCAGGTGAGGCTGAGAGTTCAAAGAGACTAAGTTAGTGGGAAATGAGGCTTAAATAGAACCGGAGTTGGTTCGGAGACCCCTTTTCTGCAGTGTTCCTCGTGATACTAGCTTCGTGGCAGGGCCAGAGCCTTTGGCTTCAAAGGGCAAGGGGACAGGGTTTTGCTTTCTTGCCTTTCATTCTGGTTTCAGATTGCCAGACTGGCTGCAGTCCCCTGTCAGTAATTCCCTGGGTCATGTTCCACTCTTAAAGATGGAGGTAATTGCTTCAAGATGTTGCCCTTTCAGGAGAGAATGAGTTGAAAGGCAGGTTTCTTTTTATCAGCTCCACTCAGGACCTGAGCCTTGAGAAGAAGGAAATGGCCGGTTGCTCTGAGATGGAAACTTTCTTTCAACTGAGAAAGGAGATGTCCCTGTGCTTCTGGAAGAAGTTAGTGGTGATGGGAAGAGAGAGGGGCCAGTGATAATTTTGTTCATTCCATTTTGTAAAGTGTCCTTGCCCAGTTTCACAGTCCTTCACTCTAAGTGAAATAAGCCCTTCATGCCCCTCCTCCTCCTCCGTGCCCTCTTTCCTTTAAATTTCAGGCAACCTTGAGGAAGGG